ATATACATCTAAACAAGAAATTTACTTTATACTATTGTGAATAATATATAAAATAACAAATATCAATAGGACATAAATAGAAAACATTTCATCATTGTAAAGCCTCCGTTAAACCAAAAGTGAAGGAAGTGCTATTGAAAAGTGGAAGCATTTTTTTCTGCTACTTGTTTCCTGAACTCTTATGCTAACTAATTATACAAAATTTATCTTAAGAATTCTTGCTATATGATCAGTATGCAGCAAATCGAAAAAAAATAATAAAATAAAATAAAGACCAGCATGACAGAAACTTCTGGGATACAGGTTGAACTGCTATTAAAATATAAAATTATTCAGATGTAAAGATAGTACCACAAAATAATAGCATTGAGCACAATAAAATAAGATCATTGTGTTTCGACCGACAATAAACGAGTACAATAAAATAATAGCATTGTGTTTTGACCGGCAATAAAAGAGTACAATAAAATAATAGCATTGTGTTTTGACCGACAATAAAAGAGTACAATAAAATAATAGCATTGTGTTTTTCCACTGACAATAAAAAAGGACAATAAAATAATACCATTGTGTTTCGACCTACAATAAAAATATACAATAAAATAATAGCATTGTGTTTTTCCACTGACAATAAAAGAGGACAATAAAATAATACCATTGTGTTTCGACCTACAATAAAAATATACAATAAAATAATAGCATTCTATTTTGACCAGCATAAAGTAAGGAAAACACTTTTCATTTACAAGACAGTAAAAAATTAACTATGTATTGCCATTAGTAGTAGTAATTGTAGTTTGTCGGTGTGGGTTCACAGACCATTTACCCTGACTTCAAAAATATCAAATTTCACAAACATCCGATGTAAGCTGAAATAATTTACGGCGAGTTTGTTAAATTTAATATGCTTATTTTTGCGTTTTGATTCATATAACGATAAAATACACATAAAAAGCACTTACGGTACTCCACGAGTATTTTACATCGTTAGAAAGAAGAAAAAATGAAGAAAATAGATACACAATTGTAGTTTTTGATGTAAGGCTGATAGCTGCACAATTTTAGTATATATATGTTCGTTTATTTAATAAGCCTTATAGAATGGGATGTATAACCTCACTTAAACAGGCATGCCAAAGTTCCCGCGATAGCCAGCATGCTGACTTATACCATATGAAAATATCTGATTTCGTGTCTTTCTGAATACCTGTGTTGCCGTTCCTAGTACATTTGTACTTTTCTGGTACATTTTGCCCTTTCCAGTAAATTGAAAGTACATTTAGATTTTTAATACATTTTCACTACATTATAATATTTCAAGTACCATTTACGGTACAATTTAATATTTCACGCCCTAACGAAAAAATGATAAAAAATTAGTTTAATAAAGTCTCACTAGTGTCACTGCTTGCTAATTTAAATTATCCAATCACAACATACAAATGGTTTGTGTCCGTTGACGTCAGCAACATAGATAGTTGCACGTGTAAACGGTCTTGACTCAGTGGTCTTCTTTCACACGTTCAGTTGTCTGCACATTCTCATCAGGACCTTGACAAAATTTTTCATGCCACGTGGTCCAAACAATTCAACTCCGTCAAACAAAAATAATGGACAGGTAAGGAAATCAATGATTTTAAACTTTTGTCGTCAATAATATCAAAATATCCGTTAAGTCAGAAACAAATTATTACAGAAAATAGTTTTGAAATTGTACGAGTATAAATAATATAAATACTTTTATATTATTTTCTACCACTATAATTTAATTCTTAAATTATGAACTTCAATTTTAGTAATCGTAGTAAAAGAAATAAGGGTTAATGTTACGTATGGTTCCAAAATGGCCGCGCTTCCGACTGTTCCAAGGTCTATATAAGAAGGTCAGGACACGCGTGATCTACTTCTTGAGCTGCCATTTTGGGGTTTTTTGAGTTGCATGTTTTAAGCAAACTTGTACGAGCAGTCAGTTTTATATGACATTAATTAAACTAAAATTGCATAAATCCTGTAATTTCCAGTCAAAAATATAATAATAATTTCGGATGATTATGCAACCCCAATTTTATGTAACGTTTTCATCAAATAGTTTAAAAGAAACAAGCATCCTTATCTTTTGCTGTCATGATTGAAATTAATTAAATAGGTACTAAAACTGATGCAATTACGTATATACCACTTCGTAAAGTGATGCAATAACATCAAAATAATTTAAAGTATAATAAAGAATAAAATAATATAATATAACAAATTTATAATTATTTTTTTAAAGCACGATTGGTTATAAAATTAACTTTGTAAGATGAAATTTAATAGTATTATTAATAAATGTTGTCAATGTAATGCTCATTTTATAATAAGTAATAGATGTGTAGATATGTTTTTAATTTTAAATAGCTTTCAAAAAATTTCAAAAATGAGATTTTAAATTAAATTATTTGACAATATATATATATATATAAACAAAGTATTCATACAACTAGTACATTTTGAACGAAAATAGTACATTTTAAGAAGACGCTTCAGTACGTTTTGAAATTTTATTGCGGCAACACTGCTGAATAGACAGGCATTCCGATCATTCGCAGCGGCGGCCTTAACCATTGCGAGGCTCCGGGCGGCAGATCTTTGCGAGGCCCTTTTCCTTTGTGCAAAGTATGTGAATTGAAAGTAGGTATTTCTGATGATTGACAAGAAATTTAAAAGTTATAAATGAATAAATTTAGAGTTTTAAAATATTATATTAGAAGATTTATAGAAGTTAACAAACATAAAGACGACAAATAATTATTATTATTTTACTCATTTTACTCTGTGGACACTAAGAGAGCAAACCCTAATGGTCCTGCTATAAGAGTATAGCAGTCCCATTAGAGTTCGGCCAGGCACACAATCAGGAGACAGGGTGGTGAGGGACTGTACCCGTCATATGCGAACGGACCCCCCCCCGAAAATGTCCTAAGGAATCCTTGACCCATTCGGATTTGATCCTTTGTCCTCCAGAGCGGTAGGCTGTCATCTTGACCACTAGGCCATCCGGTCTACGACAACAGATTATTAATGATGATAAACTAAGGTATATAAATGCCTTAAAAGATATACACAGGATTTAAAAATGAACCATTTCAACATACAATCTTTGTGCAGTCAGCTAGATTCATGAGACTTTAGGTAATCATCTAAGTGTTTTTAATCACACAGTCCTTCATTGGATCCAATTCTTGTATTTTTTTGTCCGAACGTTCGACACGGAAAACAGTAAACGGCATCCTTTGTTTGTGAATAAATCATCCAGCACTTGTCAAGTTTTTCACCATTAGCTAATATTTTACTGTAATGATATTCGCTGAATCGCCATCCATTATCATTTACAGGGAAAAAATTAACTTTAACCCGGATTGGACCTTTTAATACAATCTCGGTTTGGTCTACATCAGTAATTGTTAATGGCCACAAACTGGGTCATTTTGAGGATTCAGATTTTCAATTCTGCCAGTCATGAATGTAGACATAGACTCAGATACGTATTCTTGGCTGGATAGGGTTGACAGCGGCGGTGGCGTAAGAGACAATGATGATGTTGACTCATTATCCTCGCTATTATTACTAAGTGGCAGCAGCACCCATGACGATGTTGAAATAATAATTTCAGTTGGGTTAGGGTTACAGTGCAGTAATGTGTCATTTTCAGTCAATGAAGGGTTTCTAGAGGTTTCTTGACCATCACTTTTCATATATTTATATAAAAACCCACGTAGATTTTCTTCTACCTGCTTTCTTTTGATAGGTCGTTTCCTTTTTGAGCTACCCGACTCAAATTTTCTACCGGCATCACGATCAAGCGAACTCACTTCATAAATCTTGTTTCTCACATAAAACTAATTCAGAAACAATTTAAAAGCAGTTTCACACAGTTTTTCAATAATTCACTCTTTACCATAAGTACTGTTAATAATTAAGATTCACTAAAACTTAATATTATTTAATGTTTATTTACCTACTGAAAGATATGTGCCATACAAACGATTATGTAACGAATACAGCTGCTAGCAAAATAAGCGTCTGGTGACAAGAATTGACAAACGAAATGAAACACGGGGATAACCCGAGCATAAATCGTAAACACCATGAATCACGAAAGTAACAAAACAGCGCGTTCAAGTGAGTTTTCTAAGCGCGAGGCGCAGGATTCAAATAGTAATAAATTTTTCAAATATGTTTTACAGTCAAATTACAAAAAATATTATTATTCACTGATAAATTAATTAATTTTGATATCGTTAATCNAAAATATCAAATTTTACTCACATCCGATGTAAGCTGAAATAATTTACGGCGAGTTTCTTAAATTTAATATGCTTATTTTTGCGTTTTGATTCAAGTAACAATAAAATATACAGAAAAAGCACTTTCGGTACTCCACGAGTGTTTTACATCGTTAGAAATAAGAAAAAATGAAGAAAATACAAACACAATTGTAGTTTTTGATGTAAGGCTGATAGCTGCACAATTTTAGTATATATATGTTCGTTTATTTAATAAGCCTTATAGAATGGGGTGTATAACCTCACTTAAACAGGCATGACAAAGTTCCCGCGATAGCCGGCATGATGACTTATATCATATGAAAATATCTGATTTCATGTCTTTCCGAATACACAGGCATTCCGATCATTCGCAAAAATACGGCATGAATAAATATTCCAGTTGTTACAAAAAGAATTTGAAAATACTTTTATTCATTTAAATATTATTTCAGATATATTTGTTTTGTGGTATTTACTGACAATAATTTTATAATTAGAATGTTTTATGAAGATATTAAAGTGTCCATTTTAATTGATAATTATTTATGTAAATTTAATTCCAGGTGAATATGATGGCAGTTACGTTTGGAAAGTGGCTGCAATAGACGTAATTTTATTATTAACTTTCTTATAATATTAATAATATTATATATTAATAAATTTATATTAATTAAAATAAATTTGTATTATTAGAGAAACCATTTTTCGCGAATTTCACAGAATCTAAAACAAAAATATCTTCCGGCCATTACTTCAATACTTTTAAACGATCCAGGAATCACTAAAATTCAGGTAATTTAAAAATTTCATTCGTAAATATTAAATATAGCATCGGTGCGGCCAATTTAATCACTTTGAGACCTCCGACCTATCATTTCATTCTGTACAGATCTTGTACAAATACGAATGTAAAATTTAATTTTAGTAACGAGAACATGTGATGTTCTCGTTACTAAAATTAAATTTTGCCTGTTCCTAAACATACACGAAGCGGAGGAAAGTACAGTAAATGCTTTGCTCCTACGGCTCAATGAGTTGGCAAAATCATCCATTTCGACGTGTTAGTGTAAGATCGTTTATGAGACATATAGTATAGCCAAAAATAGTACACTTTTTAAGGATTTTGAATGTGTTTATTTTTTCATAATATACTCGTTGTTCCATTAAAACCTTAATGAAGACTAAACGTAAAAAGTCGCATGTAAAATAGTACAGTAGGAGCCGTTTATCCGGTTTTAAGACTTAATGCTCTCCCACTCCCCCCGCGGGGGAATTTCGAAAAATCCCTTTTTAGTGTGTGTTCCCATGACAAACCCTAACTGTGTACCTCTTCACCTCTTTAGGTTCAATGGTTTGCTCTGGGAGATGATGAATCAGCAAGTGAATAGAGAGGTTGAGGCGCACGTTTTAAACGTGTAAACGTGTACGTGTGATGTTCGGCGCCGCTTTCCCGTAAGCCTAAAAGTTTGACGATGGTGTTTGGAATGTCGAGCGTGATTCCACCTACTATCCAAACACCATTCTCAAACTTTTAGGCTTACATGAAAGCGGCGCCGAACGTCACACGTACACGTTTACACGTTTAAAACGTGCGCCTCAACCTCTCTAATGAGTCAGTCAGGATAAGCAATTTTATATATATAGATAAGACGAAGTATAAAGAAGATGCAGAAGACAACATAAGAGAAGTTAGTAATTCTTTGCTAATCAGTTTACCGACATACTCAATTTCTTGGATTTTCTTCAAAAAAACTGTCCAAAAAAATGTAAATTATTCAAAAAATAGTATCTATTAAAAACAATTTCCTCTTCTACTCTGTATTTTAATACTTTTGTCATTATGAAACTATATTAAACTATAGCTTTGAAAATAACTTGAAGAAGAAAGCTTTATCGATGTCATAAAATGCACGCATAAAATATATAATTCATTTTAAATCGTAAAAGTAAAAAAATACGTTCTTCTTTCATTTTATTATTAATTTTTACAGATCGATAAATATCATAAAATAATACGCAGACAAAAGGACGCAGTTATCTAGTAGAGACGTGTTTTGCTCTTATAATTCAGGTAAAATAATTATTAAATTGTTCTACTTTTAACTATTTTAAATGAGTTAATAATCGCTGTTACTTTATTAATGAAGTTAATATAAGGCTTGATGTATGTATAAAGTTAATATATTTTCGGTTATATAAAACAACTTGCAGCTAAGTAGATAATTTAGCAAACGATACTTAAATGATATTTTTACCTTTTCTTAAATGTTATTTCCGTTAAACTTTCTACATTTTTGATTTTAACCATTTTAAATGAGTTAATCGCTATTACTTTATTAATGAAGTTAATATAAGCCTTGATGTATGTATAAAGTTAATATATTTTCGGTTATATAAAATAACTTGCAGCTAAGTAGATGATTTAGCAAACGATACTTAAATGATATTTTTACCTTAATTACAATTAAATAAATATAATCAATTTTTATTTCATTTAACATAATTAAAATACAGTGAAATGTCGATGTAACGAAATTGTGGGATCTATCGAAATATTTTCGTTATATAAAATTATTCGTTAATAAAAAAACTCGCTTGCATTTTAAAGTGAAAATGTTTTTAATAAGATAATGTGAAATTTTGTAATATATAAATACTAATAGATAATTATTAGTGTTTATATAGAATCAAATTATATATTTTAAGAATGTAAGTTACGTTAAACACAGAATAAAAATTTATACTATATCAAAAATCTCACGAGCACACAGCTAAAACAATATAATAGAACAGACTAATTGTTATTTCTACAAAAAAAATGTAATTTGTATTTGCTTAATTAATCAAAGATGTTAGATAAAATCCACTACTGTAACACAGCATTCCAGTAGGCCCTCAGGCATACTTTTTATTTCAAAGCGAAGTGATATTTTTTATTTTTGAAAATATATTTTTCAAAAATGTTATTTGCAATTGTTAAAATGCGAATTTTTTATATTTCTTTCAATAGCTTCTTATTGTAAATTGTACAGCTTAAAAATTATGTCAATTTTTATCTAAACCAAACGATTGTCAAATTATATCGGGCTTTATTACTACTACTGTTATTGATTAAATGTTAATTAATTTGGCACTAGATGCAGGCGTTAACCGNAGGTAATGTGAAACTCGGTTCTATATAAATACTGATAGATAATTATTAATGTCTATATGGAACCAAATTATACATTTTCAGAATGTAAGTTACATTTAAATACAGAATAAAAATTTATACTATATCAAAAATCTCACGAGCACACGATATAATAGAACAGATTAAATGTTATTTCTACAATAAAAAAATGTAATTTGTATTTGCTTAATTAATCAAAGATTTTAGATAAAATCCACTACTGTAACACAGCATTCCAGTAGGTCCTCAGACATATCTTTTTATTTCAAAGCGAAGTGATATTTTTTATTTTTGAAAATATATTTTTCAAAAATGTTATTTGCAATTGTTAAAATGCGAATTTTTGATATTTCTTTCAATAGCTTCTTATTGTAAATTGTACAGCTTAAAAATTATGTCAATTTTTATCTAAACCAAACGATTGTCAAATTATATCGGGCTTTATTACTACTACTGTTATTGATTAAATGTTAATTAATTTGGCACTAGATGCAGGCGTTAACCGCCCTCTCTTGTAGTTGCTATGTCTGTTACACTGCTTCCGACGAAGGTTTGTGTGACGTAACTGGCAACTCAACTGCAGAGTAAGAGGAAGATGCAATACGAGTCCCTCTGAAAGTCGATTGTTTTCTTCCAGAACCTTCTCAATTAAATTAAAATCGTCCAAAAAAAGAACATAAAAACACTTAAATTTGATAAAAATGAAACCTAAATTTATTAAACATTTAGAAAAGATATAAAGGAAGATTAGATTATAATTTCAATTCATATCGATAGATTTTATGACACTTATCGATATTTATTACTTACTTTTCTATATTGATATATTTAAACTTCTAATTACTGTTACTTTATTGTTTTATCATTTAATTTGTAAAACATAAAATGTCTTTCTTTAATTAGTTCAAAAATGCTATTCACAAATTTAGTAATCATTTTTTCAGTTGTATCAGCTTTTCAATTTTCAATCAATTTTCGAACTTTAATTTTTTTAATATGAATTGTTGTTATTGAATTTTTCCGATTTTAATTATCATTTTATTACTTTCTGTAAAACAC